CTAGAGTGACTTGGACTGCCCTGTCTGGCTCTTTCATCTAATTTGGCTGCTGATTCTCAAAGATGTAAACTTTAGGGGTATGTTTAGATCATATGTAGCTTAAAGCTGGGCTTCCCTGGTGGCTCAGCAGTAAAGAATCCACCTGCCATGGCAGGAGACATAGATTTGATCCCTGGGTTGGGAAGATCTCTTGGAGTAGGAAATGGCAACCCAGTATTCTTGACTGGGAAATCCCATGGACAGAGGAGGCTGGCGGACTACAGTCTATGAGGTCACTAAGAGTTGGCCATGACTTAACAACTGAGCAACAGTAACAACAGCACAAACTTCAAGCATATTGAACAGCCCTACCATTTTGACAAAACTGAGGATGTGACTTGTATGCATGTGTCTTTTGTGTCTAATGGGAAGAGAGACAGAAAGTTCCATAAGAGCAAGAACTGTGTTTTGTCTGATACATCACAGGTGCTCAATAAATGAATAAATGAGTGCCAGCAAAAACCTGTGACAAGATTAATGTCTTGTCATTAATTACTATTTGGGAAATTTAAATGATGAAGAGTGGAGTAAGAATTAAACAGAATAAGAAGAAATGAAGCCACATTTCTTATATTTGTTACATTATTAAACACAATGTAACATTATTTGTTACATTATTAAACATAATTTGAAGAGAAGCCAACATAGTAGGAAGGCAGAGCTTGAGAAGCCTGCTGACAAATGAAGCCTGATCACCCAGAAGAACTTGCCTTATCTCTGGCCTTGGTGTTAAGATAACATATTTCCTTACGGCTGAAATCAGTTTTTCTATTATTTGCAGTCAGAAGCCTCATAACTGACTGTACATCAATGCATTTACTTCCACTAAAGCAGATTCTTTCCAGTAACCAGAAATGCACTTATCTCCCACTCCAGATGCTCCTTCCTATACTACAAGATCTAGGAAAGCTCAATTAGTCATCAGATGATTCTCTCTCTCTCTCTCTTCTCCTCCCTAAGGGTGGAATCCTTTACAGGGAAATAGGATAGTTATAGAATTATTTTCCAGATGATTTTAACTACATGTTTAGAAATCCTATTGAAATATTGCTACTCAGAAACAGAGTGTCACTCTTGTCACTGGGAAATTCGGTTCACTCCAGAGCAAGACTTTTTTCTCCTCTGGGACAATGGTAAAGACCCTCTGTCCTTGTTCTTTCCTTTGATGCTGTTTGTATAAATCATTTGTCTAAAAGAATTACAACATGAACCTTATATGCAAGAGCAAAATTTTCTAGTAGCCATATTTTTAAAAGTAAAAAGAAATAGGTGAAATTAAATCTAATGATAGATTTTATTTATTCCAAATATCTAAGATATCTTTTCATGGAAATTCCCTGGCAGTTCAGTGGTTAAGACCCCACATTTCCACTGCAAGAGCTGTGGGTTCGATCCCTGGTCAAGGAACTGAGATCCTATAAGCTTTGTGGAGCAGCCAAAAAGAAAAAAAGGAAAAAAATGTATGTGGGTATCTATACAATTTTTTTAACATATACTCAATACAAAAGTATTGGTGAGTTATTTTACTTTCTTGCCTTTATACTAAGTCTTCAAAATTCTATGTGCATTTTATATGCACAGCTCTTCCCAATCTGGACTGGCCACATTTTAGGTGCTCAATAGAGAGTGCAGATGTAGCTGGACATGAATCTCCTTTATTTCTGTTTCATCCCAAGACATATTTGATTAGGTAATTGTATTATCTTGTCCTTGCAGCCATCATTAAACTAGTGTCATTCCATCCCTTTTTTCAGATCTAATGCAACTTTATATATGTCATAATTTCTAATAAAGAGCTGTAAGCCAAACTTCTCAGTAGATTTGGAGGAGGCTATTTCTCTTTATCGAAGGATTTCCCTATTATTCTTTACTGAATATCACTTTTACTGGTATTAGATGGAAATAATATAATTCATGAAATGGCAACCCACTCCAGTATTCTTGCCTGGAGAATCCCATGGATGGAGGAGCCTGACTAGCTACAGTCATGGGGTCGCAAAGAGTTGGACACGACTGAGCAACTTCACTTTCACTTTTAAACTGTGTATCGACCAAAAGTAGACATGGTGGAGTGTTTATGCCTGGTAAGCAGAATAACTAACTCAGCAAATGAACATTCAATCCAAAAGCAAAGTTTGCTAGTTGATCTTTTGATTAAAAAGTGTTTTTATCTGATTAATTGGATTTTAACCATCTTGAGAAATAGACTAGCTGAGATAACAAGAGATAGTATAGCATGAGAAACAGCATGGGCATCAGAGTCAAACAAACTGATCTCTATTGCTTACTAGCTGTCTAGCATTCAGTGTATTAACTTCTCTGTACTTGTTTGTAGAATGAGAGTGGTTTGCCATGTCCTTCTCCAGGGGATCTTCCTGAACCAGAGATTGAACCTGAATCTATGCATTGCAGGCAGATTGTTTACCGTCTGAGCCACCATGGAGAGAGCATAAGCAACAGAGTCAAACTCAACTCTATTGCTTACTAGTTGTGGAACATTCAGTGTATTTATTAAATTCTCTGTACTTCATCTGCAGAATGAGGGTAGCTTGAGAAAGATAACATACTATGACTGAAATTGTCAGTTCTACCCCAAGTTCCATTCTTCCCTTCCTGGTCAATAACGACCCCCTAAAATGTAGCTGGACACCAGGATGCCCCAAATCAAGGCCTTTGCCTCCCTTACAGCCAGGTGTGTTTATGCCATTAATTTCTGGCCAAATGGGTAAAAGTAGACGTTGTATCTGAAACTTCCAGAAAGTATCCTTATAAAAGGGAGGATGCCCCCTTTCCTCCCTTTCTTCCTTTCTGCAAGCTGGAATTCAGGTGTGATGGGTGGAACTGAAGCAGTCAGTTTAAACAATGAGACAGAAGCTGTGTATTGAGAATAGCAGAGAACAGGAATCAGGGTCTCTTATGATCATCACCACAAATGCCCCAGATTATTTGCCCAGGCTTTTAGAATAGAAATGCATTTATATTTTTATTATTTATTTGCTTTTGGCTGAGCAGGGTCTTCACTGCTGTGCCCAGGCTTCCTCTAGTTGCAGCAATCAGGGGCTCCATTCTAGCCCTGGTGCTTCCTATTGTTGTGGCTTCTCATTGCAGAGCACATGCTCTAGGACACTCAGACTTTAGTATTTGTGATGTGCAGGTTTAGTAGTTCTAGCTCCCCAGCTCTAGGCGCCGAGCTTAGTTGTCCAGTGGCATGTTGAATCTTCTGAGACTAGGGATTGAACCCATGTTCCCTGCATTGGCAGGAGGATTCTTAACCACTGGATCACCAGGGAAGTCTTGCATTTCTAGGAAGTCATTGCACTTCTAGGAAGTCATTTTGCTTCCCAGGTAGTACTAGAGGTAAAGAATCTACCTGCCAATGCAGGAGAGGCAAGAGATGCAGATTCGATCCCTGTGTTGGGAAGATCCCCTGGAGGAGGAACTGGCAACCCACACCAGTACTTTTGCCTGGAAAATTCCATGGACAGAAGAGCCTAGCAGGCTACAGTCCATGGGGTTGTCAAGAGTTGAACACGACTGAGCAACTGAGCACTGGAAGTCATTTAAACATTTTTATTAATTAATTTTTATAAAATTATCTGCAAAACAAATGAGATTGTCCTTAAAATAGTAGTAGTAGCAACTTCTTGTCATTGAGAAGATTTCATTAGGTAATTCAGGGAAGTACTTTGCAAAATGTCTGGTACACAGAGAGGGAGTAATAAATATAATCTGTTAAGCTCAATAATGATGATAATTGAGGTTGACCATCTTTCTTACCTCAATCTTAATAAATTGATATTGTCAGAGAAGTGATTTCTTACCCCTGTATAAAAGAGTCCAGGTGAGGTCTTTAAAATGAACGTAATGTAATTGAAACATAATGAAAGTAATGTAATTACTCACTATATATAATATTCCTCATCTTATACGTTCATTTTAAAGACCTCACCTGGACTCTTTTATGGAGGAATGGGTGTCATGTTCTGGGAGGATTGTCAGACTGTCCAGGGTCACCCTGGCCATGACTACCCAGTTCAGTGCCAAAACTGAGCATAGAACACAGCCCATCCATTTGCCAACGGTGAGGCATCTAAGAAGGCATTTAGCTTCTAAGGTCATTCGAGAACCTAAATGAACCCTTGTAGGAAGGAGAGATACTTGCTGGGTGGGGCTTACTGGGCCTTTGAGACCAGTGAGGATTTAAATGAGCCTAATTACTCCTGAGAAGGCAATGGCACCCCACTCCAGTACTCTTGCCTGGGAATCTCATGGACAGAGGAGCCTTGTAGGCTGCAGTCCATGGGGTCATAAAGAGTCGGACACGACTGAAGAGACGCAGCAGCAGCTGCATAAAAATATCAAACAATTAGGAAGGGTGAAAACAGAAAGCTTCATATTTCAAGGACATGACTCTCACTTTTCACTTTCATGCATTGGAGAGGGAAATGGCAACCCACTCCAGTGTTCTTGCCTGGAGAATCCCAGGGACGGCGGAGCCTGGTGGGCTGTCGTCTGTGGGGTCACACAGAGTAGGACACAACTGAAGCGACTTAGCAGCAGCAATTATTCCTGAATAGCTTCCAGGCAATCAGTGACACAACCTGCCCTGGAGAGAGAAATCACAGGGTGTGGTGGGCAACAAGGCCCTAGGAGGAGCTGACAAGGGTTTTAAGAAGGGTTTGACTGAGGCTGACTGAGGGCTCTGGGGCAGAGGAGGGGCTGTGACCGGAACTGTCACTCAGAAGAGGAAAATGATAAATTTACTTTTATGGATGCTACCCTTCTTATTGTAAATCTCATAACTTTGCCATTATAGATTTTTAAGTGTGATTACACTAGAGCCTGAGAAAAGACTAGGTAAGGATTACAGAAATAGATTTTTAAAAATGCAAACACATAATTCTACCTTCAAAAACATTAGGTGCCCAGATAAATAATGCTAAAAATAAGTCCAAGTGGACCTTACTTCCTCTACTGGAGTGTTCAGGAACTTAACATGGATCTGAGGTGGGTTGTGACAGGCAACAAATCACCGGCTAATCCTCTTCCACTATATCTCTTGATTTCTTGTGAAGCTGGAGCTTTGAATGGTTCTAACTGGGTCAGAAATAACACTGAACTCGGTACCATCATATACTTCTTCCGCTCCACCAAGAGCCTCTGAGGCCCTGAACCCAACCCTCACAGCTCTCAGAGAGCTCTGTGCCTTGAAGAAAGAACACCATTCTATAAAACATCCACCAGAAGGGGGAGCCTTACGATAATTCACACAAAGATGTTGCTAGTGGAGGTCTTACCTGGACTGGCTGACATGGGCTTGGGTCTCAGCTAAAGTGTCCTCTAGCACCATCATTCCTGTTTAAGTAATGCCATTTTAAAGCCAACAGACTCATGGAATCACAGAATTTAGAACCAGGACTGAGGAGTCTGATGGGCTATAGTCTATAGGGTTGCAGAGCTGGACACGACTGAAGTGACTTAGCAAGCACACACACACACAAACATCTTAGAAATGACTGATCCCAAATCTTTTTATAAATGAGAGAACTGAGCCATAGAGAAGTAAAGAGTTTTGACTAAGTTTCAATAATAATAACTTTTATTCAACAATATTATAATCTTTATGAGTTTGTTCATAGACTCACTTTTACTAATGCATCACAAAAGCTGATGTACTTAATCTTAAAAAAATTTTATCGGAGTATTGTTGACTGATGATGTTGTATTACTTTCAGGTATACAACAAAGTGATTCAGTTATACGTGTGCTGAATATATATTCATTTTTTTTCAGGTTTTTTGCTCGTATAGGTTATCATCAAATATTGAGTAGAGTCCCCTATACAGTAGGTCCTTGTTGGTTGCCTACATATACTCATGTGTATATGCTAATCCAAGTTCCTGATTTATCTTTCCCCACCTTTGATTCCTCCTGTTTGGTAGCCATAAGCTTGTTTTTAACATCTGTGAGTCTGTTCCTGTTTTGTAAATAAGTTCATTTGTATCATGTAAAAACAATTCGATTCCACACATTAGTAATATCATATGATATTTGTCTTTCTCTCTGACTTCACTTAGTATAATAATCTAGATCCATCTGTGCTTAGTCACTTCAGTTGTATCCAACTCTTTGCAATTCTGTGGGCTGTAGCCTGCCAGAGTTCTTCCATGTTGCTGCAAATGGTATTATTTCATTCTTTTTTACAACTGAGTAATATTCCACTATGTGTGTGTGTGTGTGTGTGTGTGTGTGTGTGTGTGTACCACATCTTCTTTATCCATTCCTTTGTTGGTGTAAATTTAGGTTGTTTCCATGTATTGGCTGTTATAAATAGTGCTGCAATGAACACTGGGGTGCATACTTCTTTTTGAATTATGATTTTCTCCAGGTGTATGCCCACGAATGGGACTGCTGGATCATATGGTAGTTCTATTTTTATTTTTCCTTATATACTTAAGAAAGTTTGAGGTTTAAGCTATAATTTCAAACAGATAGATAAAAATACAGCAATTCAGCTTGCTGTTTAGGTCATTAAGAATGTTTGGTCCTCAGTATAGACTTGACATCCTGCTATTTTACTACCGTTCTAAAATTTTACTAAAATCTTGTGGTCAACTCCTCTGAGAAGTTTTCCCTTTCCTTTTCAAAATAGTTTGGGTATTCCTCCTACATGCCTGCCCATGACCTTGGGCTTTCTGGCTGATAACATTTGTGACACTATCTTACAGTTGTCATATATAATTTTGGTTTCCTATAATCTGTAAGCTCTGTGAAGATGATGACGTTGGATATTTCTTTACACCATGGTATCCCCAGTATTTAAAATAGTGTTTGGAACTATTAAGAGGGCTAAATAAATGTCTGCAAAATGAAAGATGAAAGGGATCAAAAACAGAGGGATGCATGAAGAAATCCGGATGATGAAATGGAATTTTTTAAAAGTATGTTCAGGAACAAGAATTAAAGCTAAAAATGAATGTTAAAGAATTAAGTAGCTCCCTAATTTACAAAGTGTTAAGATTTCCAAGTAAGTGTGACAGAGTATATAATACAAGCCAAGAGAGCTCCTCATGTATACTTCATGTGTCTATTTGCATGTGGGGGTCTACCACTCTAAGGTGACAGACACTCTAAGGTGACCCTCACATGATTCCTGTTCCCCACAGTTCACACCTTCATGTACTGTACTTCCTACCACGAGTTTGTGGCCAGGACCTGGTATCTGCTTATAACCAACGACTGTGGCAAAAGTAATGAGGTGTCACTCCTGTGATTGTGTTACCTTTATATAAGACTCCCATTGTGTACACACACACAAGCACACATGCTCACAACCAGAGACACACACAGAGAAAGTACTTTGGTCCAAGTCAGCCAGCAATTAAGTTGTGAACTTGTGATTCAAATCTATACTTAACAGTTTTCACTACCTGGAAATTCCCCCTAACAATCTGACTTCCAACTTTCATGCCATATTTTAAGCCCAGGGATACACAGACAACTGTCCTTTTTCACTTCTATCATTTTGTATTAGAAACGTGAATATGCTATGCTTGTTTGCTAAGTTACTTCAGCTGTGTCTGACCCTGTGACCCCACGGTTCATAGTTTGCCAGGCTCCTCTGTCCATGGGATTCTCCAGGCAAGAATACTGGGGTGGGTTGCCATGCCCTCCTCCAGGGGATCTTTCTCACCCAGGGACCGAACTCGTGTCTCTTATGTCTCCTGCATTGGCAGGTGGATTCTTTACAACTAGCGCCATCTGGGAAGCCCAAATATGCTATGGAAAAAAAAAATATATATATAAGTATTAGGAAAATGTGAAAAGACAATTTGCAGATGAAAACTCCAAATGGTTCATAAGTATACAGTAGAGGACTTCCTTGGTGGCTCAATGGTAAGGGATCTGCCTGCTAATGCAGGCGACACAGTTTGATCCTTGATCTGGGAAGATCCTACATGCTGTGGAGCAACTCAGCCCATGTGCCAGACACAGAGCCTGTGCCCTAGAACCGAGGGGCTGTTGCTACTGAAGACTGTGTGCTCCACAAGAGAAGCCACCACCATGAGAAGCCCATGCACTGCAACTAGAGAAAAGCCTGCATAGCAATGGAGACTCAGCGCAGCCAAAAATAGATAAAATTAAAAAAATAATTTCACAGTAGAATGGCCACCCTCACTAGCAATCGGAGAAGCACAAATCAAAATGGGATATCCCTTTATACTCATCAAATTGGTAAAAATTAGAACTTTCAAAGATACCAAGTGCTAGGTAGACCTGGGAAACTTCGTATTCAGTTAGTATCTGTTCTAGAACTGATGAGATCAGTTTGCAATACTTGGAGAAATTTAACATGTGCATATTCTAGACCCAGCACTAGATTCTACTACCTAGTCTGTAGGAGCTGGGAGCTAGGTGTCAATCTAGAACTATTATTACGGGAATGAATAAGTAAAATGTGTTGGATACATTCTGTGGAATAACACGGAGTGATTAGTAGCAATGAATTGGTACATATAGCACCATTTTAAAAAATACAGCACTGAGTGAATAAAAAGTATGACAGAATGAGGTCTGTTGTTACAATATCGCTTACATAAATTAAGACATGCCTATTGTATTTTTCAAAGATATTTACATGTTTAATAACATCAAACTCTTTAAAATGGCCATCTGTAGGGAAGGGGAAAATGGATGGGAGGTTTGGGGGAACAGTAATCAGGAATGAATTGAAAACGCATGTAAAAGAAAGCAAGCCTGTGGGAGAAGGCGAGGGTGGGATGATCTGAGAGAATAGCATTGAAACATGTATATTATCTAGGGTGAAACAGATCACCAGCTCAGGCTGGATGCATGAGACAAGTGCTCGGGCCTGGTGCACTGGGAAGACCCAGAGGGATCGGGTGGAGAGGGAGGTGGGAGGGGGGACCGGGATGGGGA